AGATTTGCATCTGCCTAAAGGGCGGCTACCATCTACTGAGCTCTGTACAATAACGGGCGACCCGCCCGGATACTTGACTAGTATGCTATTATCAGTCAACATATGCTTTTTGTGCCTCGAAACATTGGGGCCCTTGATAGCCAGAGCATCTGAGATAAACTGATTGATTTTGGTGTGATGTTGTCAAGGGATTTTCCTCCCTAAACTCAAGATTGGCTGCTTGCTACTAAACCACATCAGATCACAGGGATTGCTGAAAATAACATGGTCAGGATTAGGGTTGAATGAGTATGTCCTGATGTGATCCTATTGGTCATATAGGACATCACTCGAGCTTCGACAAGTAAAGTTGCATCAGATTGAATTGCATATTCGCCATGCATGATTTTATAGTTATACAAAGTCATTGTCTTGCCAATCAGTTTGCTTTGCATGTGCCAAACTTGGTGTGGTAGATATGCTACTATATAGTACTAGTATCAAAATCAATTGATAAGCATAATGGAGCAGGTTGGTTCAGGAAACAGTGTCTGATGGCTGTAGACTGGCAATGCTATCCAGAATCCATTTTCAACAGACTCCAAAACAATGTTTCGACTTTACAGCATCAATGAAACAGTGGAGTATCAAATGGAGACCAAACGGAGACCAAAATAGATGAACTAGCCCAACAATCGGAATGAGATATGATGTAATACATGCAATAAATATACACATGGCTTGTAGCACAGGATCAGTGACTGATATACCGATCATTGCATTCATTTCACATATATTGAGCAAGTGGGGTAAAACAGATATGAATGGAGTGTATGAATCGTTCAAAACACATTTGGTTTATAAGTGCACCTGCACCTGCACCTGCAATCGCAATCGCAATCAAGCACTTGGAGTCAAAAGTATTCAAAGCAATATGCTAGATACTGCAGTTCAATTACCAGCAGTGTTCACTTTACAAATCCAACTCTATAATATATCATCAGACAACAGTCAGTAATATTTGCTACGTCATCAACTCGATACATGCCGAGTATCCTGATTTAATCTTACTGCAGATTTAAACTATTTGGTTGACCAACCGACTCGAATGTTGATGGATTACTATGCCAATCGACTGTTTTGACCCGATATCATCACACTTGACGTGCCAACACATGCGACATATGATGGAGTGTGTAATTGCAGTTTGATTGATTCAATATTGTGTTACGACATGTGTTGCAACATCAGTCACCATGTGGGTTATAGTTTGTATATCCAACAACACATTGGAGTGATTGATTGTTGCTCCGATCGATCGAATGTCAATATGTTTGTACAACAGTTTGGTAAAACCGATTGTCCATGGATTATTATCACATGGGTCAATGCTGACCTGATTTGCGATATTCAGTGTTGTTGGAATATCAACACAACATCAACACCAAACATCAGATCGACACTGCACGTTGATGTTGATGGTTGAACTACCAACAATGGTTATTTCACACAAAGTCACCCAATATCCTACCGATTCTGGTTGTGATTGTATTCCACATCCAATTATAGATTGTAATCACAACCACAATTGCCGTGTTTGATCAAATGGTGTTTTGCATTGATCATGACATCATACATCACGATACTGCCAGATTACTGCACATAAGTCATGACCAATACAAATGCATTACTGATTGACACTGATCGACCCATAAACGCAGTCAGGCAGTACAACAAATCACCAGCATGCCATTAACCGTATTGCAATACAATTGTCCAATATTACTGACTGAACACAGGTCACAACTGCAAGTATCCATGTGGCAATGGATTGACATTGGTGTTGATATCGAATTGATTGACTAATTGATCACAATCAATTGCATCAGTGATTGGTATATGCAATTGATATACACCATGTCCGAGTCTGATACATGTCGATATATGCGTGTCGATCAGCAATGCATATTTGTGGCCATTACAGTCGAATGTGAGTCAAGTCGATCATTAAACCAACGAATCAATGGTTGCATTCTAAATGTAGTGCGATTTAATGCGACATGACAATATATTGTCCAACAGGTTCAACATACACAACACCGATATTCAATACATCACACATGAATACACTGCATATACAAGCAGTAGCAATGACCAATCCAAACCAACATTGACAGAGTTACTCATCAACATATACTCGATCATCAGTCGAGTCTGCATATATCAACCAGTTGCAACACGTCATAATCAATGTGGGTTGTATTGTCCACCAATCGATCATGACAGCTAATCAATACCAATCATGTAGTCAATACAATCACCAACATATCGATGATTGTTGACTTGCGGTTACAACTCGTCAATTGCATCCAATGTTACAGGTGATGCACATCTGATTACTGCAAATCAACAACTTGTCAATCATATCATAGTGTGTATTGCCAACAGACCATGCAATTACAAATCAATGTATACGTGATCAACGTTTGATATTTGATGGTGATGAGCCAACCATGATCGATTGTATCATACAACTAATACAGTTGCACTGTCTGGTATTGATGATCAACCCAGTCATGTCAAACAATAACCAATGTGTGTATATCGAGTTTGTGTTGCATGGACACATCAAGGTGATTGATAACGAGTCCAACGTGATGATATAAACCCGAGATTATATGAATATCCAAGTTGATGAATCATGTCGAGTTGAATGCAAAATATCATTAAACCACGACATGTTTGAATCATGTCAACCACAGCATATATTGATGACCATCCAACAACTGGATGTTAGATCAGTTGCATATAGTTTTACTTGCCATGTACTTATTTGTTCATATTGTGGCACACTAACCCTTTTTAAGATGGATAAGGGTGGGATACACAATCAGCCATGTGATATTTGAATGTGTAGTTGAGTAGCGGCTTAATCAAGGTTACAAGCTACCATAAAGGAATATCCTTTTCGGGTTACTTCGGCATTGATAACAATAAACTGATAGTAGCCCTAGTAGCACCAGCCCTTTAAGACGGATACCCGGTGAGTATGCTTTTCATATTATCCGATCGATAATGGATATAAATACGACCCAAAACCGACGTGTTGAATGACATTTATTACAACTTGCTCAACCAAACCAGTACAATGAAACTCACAATATTGGCATCAATACTGCTTGCTTGCTCAGTTACTACGGCTAGCCCAGTCAATCCCAGTGCAAGTGCAAGTTTAAGTACCGAATCTATTCTTTCGGCAGATCTTTCCAGCGCAGCTATATTTCTAGAAGTTTCTAGTGAAGATGATCAAAGTCAACTTGAGCTAAGCACATTTCCAGTCGAGGATCAAGATCTCGTCAAAGACTACCTT